CAACCCACATTCCTAACTATTTGCGAACAATACATTAATTTGAATCTGCTATATATTGATATACATTAATTTAGGTCTACCTCTACTCCTCTTAACTACTCTTTCTGCCTCTAATATGTCTCTGATTAGGCCTTCATGCTTAAGAATGTGTGCCACCAACCTATCTCGCCTATTTCTTATTGACTTCCTTAGAGTCCTCTATTCTCCTATTCTTTCTAATACCTCTTCATTTCTAACCTTCTGTATGCACGGTATCCTCATTATTTAACTGCAGCACCACATTTCGAAAGCATCTAACCTTTTCTTTTTTCGCCGCGTTCACCGTCCATGTTTCGCACCCGTACAACGCCGCGCTCCAAACATACACCTTTAACAACCTTTTTCGAGTTTCTAAATTAACCGTTCGCGAGCATATGAGTGACTTCTGCGCTATCCTCTGCTTTATATCCCTACTATTCTTTTCGTCCTGACTTATCTGACTTCCTAGATACTTAGAATCAGCCACTTCTTCTAATTTTTCGTCTCCTATCTTTATATTCACTCTTTCACTACTTTTTCTTCCCTTGCATAGCAGTATTTTTGTTTTACTTTTACTTATATTTATACAATACTGTTTTGTCAATACCGCTTACTATTGTAATATTCCATTTAAAAACGACTTTATTTGACAATTCACTTCGAACTGCACAATCCATGGTCATGTTTAAGTAGCATCTTTACATTCACATCGACCCTTGCACTAATGGACAAGAACGTATGGAATCGCGTGCATTCCTTTCATAAGTTTCACTAAGTATATGTATATAGTGTGCTATGAAGCAGCTTTTATCCGGATATGACGATGATAGATATAATTCATTGTTAGACTTATTGTTGGTGTACCGTTATCGATTTTCCACTTAAATATCGTTAAGGCTTTTCGGATGGACTTGGCCTATAATTTCCATTCTCCATTGTAGAACGCTTGTCGAAGGATATCCGTTCCTATCCATAGGATTAAAACTACTTTCCAAATGCCGGTTCGTCTTGTGTTCGTTTAATTGCCTATTAAGTGAAATAAAGGATGAATGCCTTGCTATTTGCCCTCCTACGGGTTTCAATGATCCACTCCATTTGTTAATTGCTATGTCCATCAAACTTTATGGCAACCGAGCGTAATTACATATTAATCAGGGCACACGTCTTAATCATTTAACTTTTGCTTTTAAGTAATACAATAATACTGTTATCATTTATTTCCTAGAAATATGATATCATTCTCTCAATAACATATTAAGGTTAAGCAAAAACACACTAATTACATGGATGAAAATTCACAAAAATTGTCGTAAAAGAGAATGTGAATACACAAGTAATTTACGAATTCTTATTACAGATAAAATAAAAGCACTGTGAAACATGCCATGTGTTTTCTTTCTATTATAAAAGAATGTTTATCCAAGGGTTTTTACTATTTCAAAAATATTTTTTATACAGGGTGTCTCACGGCAGAGTTACAATTTTAAAGTTGAATATTTAAAAGACCCTTTGGATTGAGTATGGAGGAAGGGGTGTAGTATATTCATCTGTCATGCGGATTTACCAATTGCATTGTCAAATTGGTTGGGTGCCCATCGAGCTTACGCTATCGAAGCGTTTCTCAAAGGAGGAGAATCGTGCGTTACGGCTCGGCGGCAGTTTTGTTCCCATTACAATATCAAACGTTTACGAGATGGACAAATGAAAAATTTGATTCGCAAATGGATCCAGGAGTTTCGAGCTACAAGTTCCTTCATAAATCAGCTACTCCCAGGCCCTAGCTAAACTTCAAGAACTGAAGAAACAATAAATGAAATTACGGCTAGCGTTCGTCGCAATCCTCGGCTCTATCAATACGTAAAAGAGCAGCGACTTCAAATGTCACTAAATCTACTGTAGGACGGATTTTGGAGCGTGATTTGAAATTTCATTCCTATAAAATTCAGATGGTGTAGACGATAACGAAAAATGACCACAATTTATTAAAAAGTTTTTGTCAGACCATCATTGAGAGATTTTGCACTTTGAATAGTGTGTTTCGGAGTGATGATGCTCATAAATAAACAGGATTGTCGCTTCTCGTCATCTGTCAATTCCAAGCAAGAACGTTAAACACCACTGCATCATCCAAAAGTGATAGTGTGGTGTGTTCTGTCGACCATATTTTTTCAAAATGCGAGAGGTACAACATATCGGCTAATGATATCCAGTTATTTTATACCGCTGCTTCGAGAACATACTGCATACAGCTTATGGATGTGCTTTTAGTAGGACGGTGCCATTTTCCATACTGCTAGAGCCACTATGGACCAACTTGAGCTGTTTCTTCTAAAGTTGATATCCGGCTTTGGTGATATAGTATGACCTCCGGGATAACCGATTTAACTCCTATAGGCTTTCTCCAGTGGAAGTATCTTAAGAGCAAGGTTTTCATCAATACTCCGAGGAATATCGCTGAGTTAAAAGAAAACATTCGCTGTACAGTATGCGAAATTGAGCTTTGTTGCTCTGTTTCGGCGTGTTATACAAAATACCATGGACATATTCCATGAGTGCGTGCAACTAAGTGGAAGACATCTAGTAGATATAATTTTCAACTAATGAAATCCGCATTATTGCTAATTATTTTTTAATAAAAATATTTTTCCTAAAATTAGTGACTTTTTTTAATTTAAGTTGAAAATCCCAACTCTGTCGTGAGACACCCTGTATTTAGCTACCTACAATAGAGTACGTTGAGTTGTTTCTATTATACAACATTATGTTGAACAAAAGTTTATAAGATTTCGTAATAATTTTGTTCCTGTAACTGTATAAGTGATCTAAAATTAGCAGGGATTTAATTTTACCATTTAAAGTATTCTACTATATGGCTACTGTTTAAAATGATCCGAAACATTTTTATTAGGTATAAGGAGTTTACTTTGAGTTTTGTATTTCTCCAATAAAATGTTATTCTATAGGTCACTATTGAATTTCAAACGAAATATATAGTGCCCTTGTTGGGTGAACACGCCTAGAATATTAGCAATTGACTACCAATATCGCCATCGATTGAACGTTTCTGCGAAATGTTCGGCGCCAGGGTTTAGTCATGTCAACGAATCTACACAATAAGGGATATTGTGACCCACACGAAATGTTACATTAGTAAAAGGACAGCAAAGTTTGAAATTGTCTGAAACTGCTCACTACGAACGAGAGCCTTTAAATTGTCGTGTGTCCTTTGCAATATTGGTTCTTACACCCTATGGTCCAAAGTCTAAAAGTTTATTCATTCACAGCATATAATAAAATAAATATGCAGTAGAACATGGTTATAGCGTAACTTTAAGGACAGACGATATTTTGATGTGATAACCGAGTGTGGTTTCGTTATTAACAAAAATTTACACGGTTAGAAATTACAAGACAAACAATTTGGGAAACACATTTAATGTTTCTTATCCGATCCTTTTTAAATAAAATGGGAAAAAGAGGGAACAGTTACCAACCCTAACCTAATCTAACCTAACATTTGTTACTTTTGCAGTATTTCAGTTCATCGTTACTATTTGATAACTAAATATTAATTCGATCTAGACCTTGCTAAACATAACAAAAGTACAAATTGACATATAAGTATTAGGTATGAAAAAACAATTTTGCGTGCGTATGTGATTGTGTAACGTCTAATCAGAAAAATTTGATAACAGCTAGATGATGTCCTAATACATGACTATGATATTTCTTATTGGTTATGACAATATATACAGTTTATTTTTTGCTGTATTACTTTCTTTAATAATGTTTGAGTTACCAGAAATATATGAAATTCGTCATCGTATACAATTCCTAGGAAATGTATAGAATTCCTAAAATCGCCGGGAAATTTGTGAAATAAATTATATTCGACACATTTCTTAGGAAACCTATACAATTCCTAAATAGCAATTGGTAATATATTACAGGAAATACTAAATAGGCAATAATACGGTAGGCTGTTTGGAGATGTACCCATATCCATTAGTGACGTTATTGTTTGGTTAGGGAGATTTATGACAAATAGGAGTTTCCTTAACGACTCTGCCAGGCTGGTATGTTAGATGTTAGATAATGTGACGAGGTTATCTTTGTTGCAGCACTCACGATGACCTTGAATTTTTAATATATTGTAAAGGTGATAATGCTGATCGTGTTCATATATATATGTTGGACGAGGAGATCATAATAAAGCATACTTTTCTAAGACATTATTGCAACATATCAGCCGGCAGGGGCATTAAAGAGACTCCAGTCTGTCATGAATCTACCTAAAACTTTTGGGTGTTTCATTCTCACCAGCCAATAATGCTGGTGAGCGGGCAGTCTCTCCTGACTATGCCGGCGGAAGACCCTCTTCAGCCTGCTTTCAGGAATGGTGGGAATGGGTGGGTGGTGGTTCGGGTGAGAAAGATGAGACGGACGAAATGAAGACAGAAGAGAATGAAAGATTATCTGTGGAATATTATTGCCCCAGCATTTGCCTAGGTGATCCAAGAAAACCACAGAAAAACTTTACCAAGGCAGACGCACCCGGAATCGAACCGGCGTCCTCCCGAATGCTAAGCAATGGTCTAAACTTCTAGGCCATGCCGCTCGGTTGAATCTACCTAGTAACCATACAATGACGTCACTATTGCATGTACATCTCCAAACCTAACCTAACCAAACAATAACGTCCAATGCATATCATGTGATGGCACTAAAATCGCGTAAACACAGATAACTCTGATTCTTAGTTTACTAACGTATTGTATTAATTTTATTCACGGAAAGTATTAGTTTTATACATTTCCTAGTAGAATATCGGAATTTCATATAATTCCTAGGAAATACGTACATTTCCCAAATAGCCTCAGAATTGTAAACAATTCCTAGATTTCCTACATTTCCGATAACATATGCACTTAGTAGGTAGGTAGATATATTGTAATCTTATATTTTTTCTTTTTTAATTATAGGTCGCTGCAGGATCATTAAGGAATGTTCGGTTAGTTGCGAGTTTGAACAAATAGTACAGATGTGGCGATGCAAGAAACATTAAACGAGACCGAATGTGCGGCCCTCCTGAAAGATGTCAAGTGGGGGGACCCAGGTCTGCTCACTTCGTTGTCCATTTTGGCACTAATCAACGTGATGGTGATTGTCGGTAATTGCCTGATCATCGCTGCCGTCTTCTGCTCTTCCAAATTACGTTCAGTTACTAATCTCTTTATTGTCTCGCTTGCTGTCGCCGATTTATTGGTCGGCATCGCCGTATTGCCCTTTTCTGCTACAAGGGAGATATTCGACGTAAGTATATTGTTTTACATTCTACTGATTTATTTTCCCATTATGTATATACTTCGGGTTGCATTTATATTCGGTGGTAACAGATTTATTTTTAGAAGAAATATACGAATACGAATTGCTTCTCTTACTTCCTTGATGTATCGTATGAACATTTGATTATCGACTCGTTAGAAATTTCTGTAATTCAAATATTCGGCTGATGAAGAGTTTTAATGTTCACTATTTATACGACAAATGTGTAATTGGTGTAAACGGCAATGTCCTTTGGCAATTTATCTTCTGTAAGCAGACTGTCGTGTCGCACCGCGCACCTTAAAATAAAAAGAACCGTTGTGCTCCTACGCATAAGAACGCCAGCTACTCGATTCCCTCGGGACTGGAGCAATTAATCATAAAGGAAAGTACAATCTTGAATGCTAGAGATTTGTGCCTCGTCGCTCAGAAAAATTGTCTAAGAGTTCGTGAAATGGTGAAACATTTTTCACATCTGATACGAATTCTGCGAAAATGGTAAAACGGTGGCTACGTAAAAGGTTTTCCTTTTCTTGTTCAAGTACCCGCACATTCAAAAAATGCCTTGATAAATCGAGGAGGCTTAACGAAAACCGATGCTGAATTCTAATGACACTGAACCAAGTTAAAATTCGTTTGTGTAAAGAAATTTTGTTGTGGTTCGTTGCCTATGCATATTGAAAAATGTGTAACAAGTTTGAATTAAAAAATTAGTCCTTGCGCCTCCACCAAAATTAACGAATACCCTTTAACAGTTACGATATGTATATGTATATTGTATGTTGATTTTTGTATTACACTATTAAAACTATAGTAACGCTTAAAATATTTACGGCTATCTATAAGATTGAAATACATTACAAAAATATAATAAAGTCTTAAAAATTTTGAATNGTATATCCTGCGAATAAAGAGCTCTTACTATATTAAATGTGTATGTTTAGCTAAAAGCAAAACTGAAAAAACCATATGAAAAATGGAAATTATTTTTAAAAGGATAGATAACACAATAAAATTGCTTTTTAATTGACTCCCTCCGGCTCTTGAGGAGTATGCCGGCGTTATATAGGGATTAACCTTTGTACTAAAAGCGCGGACGATGATAAATCATATCCTGACTGACGCATATTCGCCTGTTTAACAAAATAAAGACTTCGGAATAATTCGATGATAATAATCTTAATAGGCCTCTGGATAATAGTCGGTTAGTTAGTATATGGTTAAACTATGAGCTTATCAACAACGCTCCTATATTCTGGTTAAACATAAGGTAAAGGTCTAGATGATGGCCCCCACCCCCGAAGAGGGTGAGAGTGGTGGGATCGAAAGAGGAGGTCTCCCCCACCACTGAACCATAAAACGTTCGTGGCGGTCTCATCCCCTTAAAAAGTTATGGGGGTTGGATGATGGCCACCCACCCCCGAGGGGGTGGGGGTAAAGGGGATCGAAAGAGGGTGGTCACCTGAGTAAAACCCCATAAAAAGTTTGCGGCGGTCTCACCCCATGAAAAGTTATGGGGGTTGAAAGTTGATTATTTTGACAATTTTCATACANGAATTTAAAAATCTCAAATTTAGTTTACTCTAAAATGTTTCTAGGTATTTAAGTTTTTCCTCTGACTCTTGCTTATGCTAACAGAATTAGATTTAAGATAAATTAATACGCATCGTATCTAGAGAGGATGGTAATATATTTAACTGTTACTTAGGATTTTAAAAATATTAGGGAATGGCACTCGTTGCAGCTCTTATTAACACTTCGCTGTCATACAAAGACTATTCATGATATCGTTTCAAACTCAATCCGTACATTTCCGATTAGGAACAGCTTTTGAAAATGTTAAATGATGTAAAATGTTAAATATACTTAAAAATGTAGGAATGAGATGCAAAGTGATAGGTATATACCATAGTACGTATAAAGAGTAACAGGCAGTTATATGTAGAACTTGAGCAGTGACGTAAAGAAATGGAAGAAAGTCAGACAGGCATGCAAACTGTCACCACTACCTTTTCATCTATATATTGAAGACGCAATAAACATCATTAAAGATAGGATAACGTTGGGGATAGAGGCAAAATATTAGTATAAATGTTTAGATTTTAGCATCCAGCAGGGAGGAGTTAGAAATAGCCTTAAATAAAATGGAAGCGATATTGGCAAAGCAATATGGTATGAAAATAAATACAAGTAAAACAAAAATATTGGTATATATAAGAAAGAGGGAATGTAATGATTGGCCATATAAAATTAAAAGAAGTCCCTGATTTTAGTTATCTAGAAATTAAGATAATTAAGGGCGGAACCGGCAATATTAGAGATACAAAAAAGGGGCAGGGTAAAGTCGAATAGCCTTTAACAACAAGAAGTCATTTTTATATTTTTTAAACGGTTAATTTAGAATTTATAAAAAAATTGAGGATGTAGATATGTCAGGAACACGAATCTATACGATTGTGAAACGTGGACGGTGGGCACGGCGGAAAAGAAAAGATTAGAAGCGTTCAAAATGTGGTGTTAGAGGTGAATGATGAGGATACCGTGGACAGAGAACGTTAGAAATGGTAAAGTATTAGAGAGAGTAGAAAAACAGTGGGCGTTATGAAAGTCGAATAGACGAGATAGGATGACAAGACACTTTCAGACAGGCTAGTGGGAGACATATTAGAAGCAGAAGCAGGAGTTAAGAGGAGTAGGGGTAGACCTAGATTAGATCGCTATTTGCAAACAGTTAAGGATGTGGGATGTTCTAGTATTAGAATAATGCGAGGATTAGTTCAGGATGAGAAAGAATGGAGACGTGTCCAACTAGTCTTAGTATGTATAACGATGGTGAAGAATATGATGACAGCGTTTTGTCTCCCAACTCCTTGAAATCCGTGAATTCATTAATAAAATTTGTAGGCGTTTTGCCCTTATCTTTATCAGTTATTTATTTCCATATTGAGATATCTGCAAATTAGATTTTCCATTGGCTGTTGCACCTATTGTAGTTAAATCAAAAATGAAATATTTATAATTTAATATTATATAAACATGCTTTTATGGAGCACCTTTAATGATTTATCGAGACTACCTATGGCGTGTGTTAATAAGGTCGAAATCGCAATCCACGTACGGTTGTTTCAACAAATTACTGACCATGAACTGATACATCGTTTTCAGATATTCTTTGTGCGCAAGTAGCTATATTTTATGTCAGCAGATAAAATGATAGAGTGGAAAATCATGTGAAATTCGTTTCGACAATTTGTTTGTTGCATTTTTAAAAAGCACGTTATTGATTGCGTATCCGAGTTAGCCAAGCTAATTCCCTAGTCAGTCGCAATCGACTGTTTCTGTTTGATTATTACGGACTGGTGCCGTCGTTTTCTCCATTCAATTTCAATTTCTTCCTAAATAATATAAACGTCACGTCAACCTGATCTCGTTGACGATCACGCACTTATTGCAATATTTCGTGCTTTATATGTACTTGTATGTATGTATACAGTTCCACACGACAACGTAAAAGATTTATTACAAAATAATTTTTATAGAATTTTGTTTGAGGACACTTCGGATTATTATTGAACCAGAAGCAAAATGGAAACGATACATAATTTCGCGGTCAGGTCAACTGATGCCGTTTTGACTTTTTGAATTACTTTGCAGACAATCTGTGAAGAATCTAAAAATACAGTGATACCTCGAGATACGAGTTTAATTCGTTCGGTAACCTTGCTCGTATGTCAATTTGCTCGTATCTCAAAGCAATTTCCCCATTGAAATTAATTGAAGTGCCATTAATCCATTCCAGCCCCAAAAATGCTACCCCAATTGTTTTTGTTACGTGTTTGTGAATAAGACATTCCCAAGATCTATTTTATTTCACTTGTTGAGATAACCTCCTCCACTTCTGGGGCTCTTCCTCGAAACCAATTTCATGCAGAAACCCCGAATGCTGCTGCGACTGCAACTCTTGTAATTCCTCGGTCGTCAGTTCCTGAGAGTGCTCCTCGAAGAGCTCGTTCATGTCTCTCTTATCCATCACCAGGCCCATGGATTTTCCCAGAGACACTCCATTGGCACTTAGGGTTCGAATCCTTCGAAGGTCCTTTCGGCTACAGACTTAAATCACAGCTTCTTCCATGCAGAGGTCAAGGTCCTCGTTGTAACACTCAGCCAGGCCTGATCAATAATTCTGAGGCATATCACGATGTTAAAGTGGTCCTTCCAGTATTCTCGAAGGGTGAGGTTTGTGTTCTCTGTCACCTTTGGTTCGGTGGGTGAGCAGGAGCTTTGTCGAGGACGAGAAGGGCTTGTATGGTTGTTTTCCTGCAGATATTTCTTAACAGAAAGGCCAAAAACCTCGTATCTCAAATGTCGCTCGTATTTCAAAGCAAAACTTCGCTAGCTCGACAGCTCGTATCTCAAATAACTCGTATCCCGAGGTACCACCGTATCTTGTTTTATGAAATGTAATGTCAAAATGTGATTTCATTTACAACTTCATGCAATTTGAACTGATTCAGGTCTGAAGGCCGCAGTCGGTTAGAAATGCTTCCTGACGTTGCCTTACCACGAGTGGCAAGCTTTTTCACATTTCTATCCATCTCCGATGCTGGATATGGAATTTCAACTGATTACCGCCTTTAGACTCGAATCAGAACAGAATCAGTTCAAATTGCATTTAGCCATAAATAAAACCACATTTGGGCATTACATTTCATTATATAAGATATTGTAAAATTATTAAGAGATCGCCTTTACACCATTAGCATAGTTTCTACACAGTAATCCAAAAGTAAACATATTTTTCTTTTACTAAACATAGCAACAGCACGTAAAAGTCAGTTGTAGTGAAAAAGTACGATAGGCATAACTTACGTCAGCAAATTGTAGGTAACAGCGTTTTATGTGTAGTCAATAAGATGAGGCAAAGATTAGGGCGAACGTAGGTTGCAGTTACCTCAGTATGGTGTACAGCGTACGTTACGATTTATTTG